TGTCAAATTACGGACCATAGAAGACAGGCCCTACAACCTATCTGCCATGATGCGTCATCGCACTGCCTAGAGATTCACCGAACACAAAATCAAGACAAAAATTTCAAATGGGGCAAATTTGAAAGCATGTAATACTAATGAAAATGAAAAGGACCATTGGAAAATAAAGGTACTTACTCAAGCCACACCCACAGGCTATGCACCTGGAGTTGGGGCCTGGATCAGACTTGAGGGGTGCCAAGCAACCTTCTCATTCGTCCTTGAAACTGCTTGAACAAAGTCTGTGAAATGACTTAACGGGGTTTTGAACAGAGTTGGCTATGAGCCAGGCTTTGGAATCCTGTTCCTAGAGCTAGGATTGGATAAGGGGAAAATATTAAAAGAGGCAAATAGGGTTTTAAGGTTCAATCATTCAGAACATAGACCCTAAAATCGACCTATATGAGGGTATATATAATCTCAAGGGCCTGTAACTACCACCCTCTAAGTGATGGTCCAATCTTGCCGTTGATTTGCCAGTGGTGAGGTCCAGCGCCAGTGGTGAGGTCCAGCATCGAGGTCGGGGTGGGCAAGGGATGTCTCCATCACCTGTCCCTTGCAACCATTTTGGGTCAGTTTTCAGTGTGTTGAGCGGTTTTCAAATGGTTGTATTTACCCTTTTTAATTTTTTCATTTAATGTTTTTTTTATGTATTTAAAAGAAACAATTTTAGGGTTTGGCTCTTAGGGTGTGATTAAGAGGCCTAATGTTGCTGGATGGTTAATCTAGAGATTAAGCTCTTTAAGAGGTTTTGAGATGGTTTAGGCCAAATTTGGAATTACCAGAGCCTAATTCAGAAGGTTTTTTTCCAAAGGCTTGCACTGATTTAGCAGATTTATAAGGTATAAGCTTAATTACGTAGGTTTAGGTTAATAAAGTGGGGTTTTCTGATGGTAAAGGCTTCTTTGGTATTTTGGTTTGTGGTTATGGTGCATGGATTATCGTGTACAAAGGTCTATCCAGCCTAGTATAATCCCTAGATTGTTGTTGGGTAGCACTAAGGTATTTTGGTGGACCAAAAGGTGGGTTTAAGTTCCAAGGTTGGTTAGGTTAGGTGACTAGTCTAGATCCTAAGGTTTTAGGCTCTTGGGCTCCTAAGAGTTTCTTAGCCAAAGCAAGGTGTCTACAGTTGTCCACTTTGGCACTCATACCGCACATCTTGGGCTGGATGAGTGTTAAAGAAATAGACACCCAAGACAGTAGAGAAATAGAGCTGGAAAACACAAGGGAAGTTTCCCTCGAATCCCAGTATCCAGTGGTCAGCAGGTGCCTCTATTAGGGCATTTATGACTTCAACTTAGACCCATTGCCAGCGGTTGCTCAATGAGAGGTCACCTATCGTCCTGTCAGTCCACAATGGCCCTGATCCTAGGTTTCAAGGTAGACAGTTGAAAATACCCGTTCTTTTATACACTTGTTACTGGGACTGGCTACCCATTCTCCGATGTTGTTATTGTGATTGGCCACCCATTCCCAGGTGCCATCATTAGTGAGACTTGAGATTAAAATAGATTGAAGTAGAAAAATGGACAGAAAGAAAGCTTCTCATCTGTTTTTGTTTTATTTCTGGCCCCACCTTTGGGGGCACAAATGTTGTAGTAATCTCACATTAATAAAGAGTTAACGGTTTCAAAAAAAGAACACAGATATTGATCATGATATAGGTAACAAGTACTGCACTACGGTATAGGACATCTGCTTAAACTCCAGAAGCATTCAGCAGATGAATTACTCAAGATTCATCATATGAATAAAAGCGTTAGATAATATGACTTGAAAAGAAAAAAAAAGGTAGCCTCAGCTTAATACCTTATCTGCAGGACGGGTCTTCTCCTCCTCATCCATGTCATCAAGATTGTTGCTCAAAAGCAAAGTGATGCAATTTCTTTCAAGATGGAGTTTATCTATAAGTCCTGCCACAGGATTTCCGGACTTTTTCTCTTCCTTCACCATACGTGCGAGATCCTCCCAATCCATCCCATTTGCAAGAGCAACACGAACTGCTAAGATAGCAGCATCAACATCTTCGAGATTGTACTCAATTAACTCTGCCAGAGCAACGCACCGATCAACTTCTTTCTTCAATGTATGTACACGATTTTCCTGCGTCACAAAATAATGCAAGTATGTCAAATATTTGCGACACCATTAACATTTCAAAACATAGCACAACAAGGGTGTTTTAATTCAGTCAACTTCAACTTAATTACCAGTTGAGAATAATCATAATATGAAGCAAAAACCTAAGACGAGAATTATCAAGTGCCCAAATACCAAGAGGGATTGAAGCTTTCCTGCGAAAGAAGTGAGGATTGGGGAAACAAATAATATTAAACTATGTAACCAATGGAAGACGTGATCAGATGTTAGTTAGAAAAGACTCATATAGGAATTGCTTATAAATTGACTAGTTACACTAGTCTTAACCACATCATTCAGTCCAATTCAAAGAAGAACATGTACATATCACAAAATAGTTTCATGAGTCTGTTGTCTTTCAAGAGTTCACTTTAATACTGGTATTTCCAGAGTACGGATGGAGGCACCCACGACCAATCTCCCATACAACAAAAAGCCCATAAATTATCTAAATAAACCACACTAAACCAATCCAAAGCATTCTGTACATAGAGAACAGTGGCAACTCATAGACTTCAACCCACCTATACATGGCAGGATGTCATCTACACAATGACCGAAGTCCAGGAATGGCTTCAGAGCTCCCACCCTATGCCCAATACCTGTGATCTAAGCTACAAAACCACCCAGTGTAGGGAAATAACACAAGCCCAACCTGACCAAAATATTATCTTGATAAGAGCAGATAGTTCCACTCACTCTCAGTTCCACCTCAGTCCCAACATCCATACCACAAGACATTCCAACATCAATGGAGATTGAGACCATGCTTTTAAAATGCGGCCGCATCACCGCATATGCGGCGCACAAGACGTTATGCGCTGGGCAGCGCATTGCAACAGGCCACATAGGCACCTTGGAGAGATGCATCTGGATATGTGCCGCATCTCTCCGCATGTGCAGCAGCATCCCGCATAATCTGAATATGTGGCCAGTCATTTCCGTTAAAAAATAAAAAAAATAAAAAATAAGAAAAATAAAAAAAAAACTAGAGCAGGGGTATTTTGGACATTTTGAGCCCCAAGAAAGTGTTTTGGAGGGTATTACACCCCCCAAACAACTAAAAACAGCCACATCCATGTGCTTTTTTTAATCAAATCAATAAAAAATAAAAAAGTGGCGGAAAATGTTTTTTGTTAAATTATTAGATTTTCGTATTGCTTGATAATTGGTTGTTGATTTACTTTTTTTGGTTGGTGTTGATTTGAGGAAGGTTGGGCAAAGCTTAGAATGATGATGCACATGGAGACACTCAAGATAACTTCTCTTATTAGGATTTGAAATTTAGAATCTCAAGACTTAAGAGTTGAGAATTAATGATGATTTGTCTTGAGCTTGACTTTTGAACTCTTTAATCTTCATAGACTTTTAGTTTGTATTTTGTAACTTTAAAGTTTGTGTTTGCAATTTTGCAATTTTGTGATTATGGTTGTTTTATGAAGGTAGTTTCAAGTTTCTAGTTTCTAGAATCTATCAAGAGATAGTTGACACAGAATCTCCGACAGGCGACAGCTGATACTTTTGAAGACCTACTACCACATAAATCACCTCCATTTTTTTTTTCTATGCATTAACCTTTTTTTTAGATTGTTTTATATTTATTGACCCATCTGGACCGCATCGCCGCATCGGCCCCCCCAATGCATCAGGCCACATCCTGCATTTTAAAACACTAATTGAGACATGCAAGCATCCTTGCACAAATAATTCTGGAACATGATCATGATGTCACTATCCTATTTTTCAATAAACGTTCTCTGACAAAAGCTGGTATGAGTCACTTCAGCAGCAAGTTTATCCTCCCTCCAAAATAGAGAAGCAAGGAAGTAAAAAAGCAGCAGGATAACACTTTTGGAGCTCATCTGAAAATGATACACAGCACATGTCTCTTTTTTTTCTTTTTGTGTTTGCGGTTACCATTGAAGTCTCTAAGGTCGAAATACCAAAATGAGATAAGGCCACAATTGAGAAAGGCTGCCTCAGTCATATGACACTCTAAGAAATTTACATGGCTTCACATTCTTCAGTTGTTCTGAAGCTACCAAACCAACAGAAAATCGATTTTGCACCTAACGAAATGCAGCCATTTCATGAACCCATCTCACAGCCAAACTTTCAGATAAATGGATCAGAATCAAGTTATAAAGCTATTGGAGAAATCGGTAAACAAAATGAAGATTGCATAATCCTGCAGCAGTAGATAAAGCCTAATAGTTCACCAATGATATCGATCCAGTCATTTTAAACACTTCAAGAAGTTATGAACTTGAAAACCACTGCTGCAAAGGTCTAGAATGACTTGAGGAATATAAGAGCAGCCAAAATAATAACAAAAAAAAAAAGTTAACAAACAGAAATCCTGTGGTAGCAATAAGCATTGAGGGAAAAATCATGCACCCATAATTGTCCGGAATTGCAAGTTTTGATCTGATGTGTTTTCCGTAAGGAAAGTATAAAAAACAATATGCATAATTTCAAAGAATGAACACTGTTTCGGGACATATGAACACTCCAAACAGATGCTACTAGTTTCTCCCTCTCTATCTTTTTTTTTTATAGTAGTTCTTCATATAAAAATTGCAAAATTCCTGTATGCTGGTGGCTATGTGTATTTTCTTCAAATTATGTTTACATTCAGCATAGACTGATTTTAAATAAAGAACCAAATGAACCTGATCCGCCCGTATCTTATTTAGTTTTAGTAAAGCAGATCCCTCCTTGGTTTTTTGCTGTTGCTCTGCCTTTTGACTTTCGATTTTACTGTAGAACTCATCTAAAGCTGCGTCAAATGTTTCCATCTTCATATGTTGCCTTGATTTGAATTGGTTCAATAAAATTGGTGTGAATTCATCATAGACCTGCCATATGAAATAAGTGACAGGATAAGAAACACAAAATTAAATTCTGAGGCAGCCAAAATTTCATAAATGTATTGAATAGTGTGGAGATGATCAGAATTCCAGATAAGAAGGTGATGCAACCTGGGCATTCATATAACTGTATCACATCAAAAAAAAATTACATCAGGAAAACATAACATTGCAACAAAGGATAAAAGAGAGAACTTAAGGATGGGCTGTTGGGAGAGGAAAGCACTTGATCAATTAAAAAGAACTAGCTGTTATTGTCATCATAAACAAGGATGCAAACAGTGCCTCTCAAAGAAGTAACAAGGAAGTTTAGTGCTCTCAGTCCCACAACACAGCTTGCAAGGGAGTTTTAGACGCAGAAAAATGGTAGGTTTACATGATGGAGTTTGGAAGACTTAAAGAGAGTATCAGACAGGTCAGTGGATGAATGGAGAACAACTTACAACCATTATAATCGAACATTAAAGCAAAACAAGGAATGTCTGCAATTAGAAGAAAGAAATGTGACACCAGTCTTTGTATTATCTCATATCACAAGGCAAACAGGCAAACGAGATTTTAAATTTCAAAGTTCATTTACAACTGTATCCATATTCCAATGAAGAAAATATCATATAAAGGAAAAAAATAATTAAATGACAAGGCTAAATTTTACTCCTGCCGTCTTGATAAATACAAATCTAGAAATAGTCAGTGGATGACGTAAACATAACAATTAGCAACCTGGTCCGAGCTCTCTTGAGATGACATGCCTTTCCTATCTCCTGAAGTTTTGCTCTGCATTAGGATGTAGCCTTCAGGGACTGTCTCACCAGAAATAACATCCTCGAGCCAGTCTTCGAACTTATCAATGGCTGAAGCCAGGGTTCTCAGTGTATTCTCATCTACAGTGGCCCCATTCTCATTTCCAACCTTCATGTTTGGAAGCAAGCCAGCCTCCAAAATAATGTGCTCAGATAGTGCAGGTCCATAACCTAAAGACTCTCCAAGAACAGTCTTCAATGTGGCTTTTTTAATCTTCACACCATCACCAGCCTTCTTGTGTGTACCCATTGCTTTCCCATCAATATTGCTAGTCTTGTGACCATCGCCCTCAAGAGACTGAAAGTCATCTTTCTCGGTTGAATTTGAACAGGTTAAAGCATTTTTCATCTTAGTAAAACTCGTTCTCTCAAAAACACGACAATACTCAACAGGATAGCGGTGACGTGACATTATAGCTAATCCCTTTTCATCATCCCTGTGACAATTGACTTGTGTTACAATGAGTTCCAGGTTGCAATATGAGAAAGAAAAATAGTATCATCTAGATCAAATGAATATATATCAAACACTGAATATATGTAATTCTTCAAGCATTCAAACCAGATAAAATATATATAGCAAAACAATGAGTAATAAGCAATTTCTCCAATTAAAGTGATTCACATGACCACTGGCAAGCAGCAGCGCTAGTATATGGAAATCCCACAGAACTTTGCAGTCTGCATAACACATTTTAAGGAGCTTTTGATCCTACCAGCTTATTTTATGTCCTAAGAGCCCAGTCATTATGTACAAAAAATATTCATGCACTTGACATGTCAAACAGCAACTGTATGCCGATAAGCAAGGATCGACATGAATATATGAAATATCATGATGATTCTCCAGGCTTTGCAATCTAACACAAGGTTGGCATCTTCTACTGTGGAATCATATCGTTAAATTATCCACCTCCAGAGAAGCAGGTGTATTATTTTCATATTATCTTGGTTCCCTGATTTAACAAAGTGACTTCAGTTTAGGGCTCTCTGGGGCCAGTCTGTCACAAAAAAAGTAACCAAATGATATCTTCCTAGGAATTTCATGGCTCACCAAACAACCTCCAATCAGGAAATCAAGGGATTGTGACCTACTTTTTCTTCAGCTGTACTCTACACATGTTTCTTTTTATGGTATTGACATTGAAAGTTTCATAAAAGCTATAAATTGACATTGTAAGATTCATTCATCTCATTAGTCGATACTACATCTATCAGACACAGCACTTCATAGAAGGAGAATGGATGTAACTCACAAACCTATGTGAGCGAAGCAATGTCATCACAACGTAATCTGAGTCAGTCAGAAGGATATTTCCTTGAGCATACAACTCCAAGATAACATAGTGAGCATTTGAACCCAGTCCAAACTGGAAAACAATAACCTGCCAAAACAAAAGACTTAATAACGCAATACACTAACATTGAACTTTACATGCACACCCAAGCTTGAGCACAAGGACACGCACAAATATCTCACAAACTAATGTAGATGCATTATGAAAATCTTCCAAAAATCAAAATTTTAAAGTCTCTCAGAAAGAAGAATTTTGAAAGTGATTCAAAAAAGATTTTCCCTCCTACAACTAAATATATTGCCACCACTTTATAAAGATCAACCGATATTAGCAGCCCGTACACGATCATATCCAAGTTGACGAACATCTTCAAGCCTTCTGGTGCGTATGTGTTTCCGCAATTTGAGTGTAAACCCAGAAGGAGTTGTGCTTTTATCCCTATTCATAGGAAGCATGATGAGACATATATGAATATAATGGACTCCTTGATCCAAATTTAAACAAAAAAAAGGAAATTTATCAAATTACCCATAAGATATGCATTATTTATCATTTTACACAGTTGCAACTATTCCAACTCATGATCACATGTTGTTTGATGGGTATTTTGAAATTAAATCAAACTATATAGATAAAAAGTTTAATAGTTAATCTGCCATGGGTATTTTGATAAATTTCCCTTTAAAAAAAAAGATTGTATCAAGAATTTATACCCTACCTCACATATGCAGTTGTGTGCATTCTTACACCACTTTCCATCAACAATAGAACCTTTTCACTCTCCCCAGACTCTGTGATTCCACTACTATTCATAAGCTTGAACATATAAGTCTGCAAAAATAAGAACGTAAATTGGAGTACTACAGGACAGCTCATGAATCTCAAGGATGTCAATCGAAGACATTGCATACTCGAGTAAAATGAGAACAAGTGGGTTCTTGTCAAAATATGGAGACATCAATAGGACAACTCAACTACTTGTATACCATAACCACCAAAGAAAACCAATAATAAGGGGATTAAAACTATTCTGGGATAAGCCTAAGCAAACGAATATCAAATAAAAAGTGAAATACACATTTGTGATGCGGAAATCTCAATAATTCAACAATCTTGCAATGTTATACTCACATGAAGTCAAAGCAGCTAACAAATAAGAGAATTAATTCCTTGTTTAAAATTTTGGGTTGATATTCAGACTATCTGAACTCATTGATGAATGTAAATAAAACCGACTGGTTTCATGCTTGAATAAAAACCATTCAAATTCCAAAGGTGATCCAATGCATGATTCATATAACACATGCAGTTTAAACGAATTGCAATGACCCATCAAACTAAATTGGTTATTATACAAAATCTGAATTAATTGAAACAATAGTAGGTATGTGTTGCACTATACAGAAGGAATTGAGAAATTTAAACAGAAACTAAATAATAATATTCATAATCTTAGAAAATCGATGAACAAATTGATCAAGAAGCAATACGGAATATAAATTCATCGATACATAAAAATCAAGGAAGCCTTTATGGTATAAACAAAACGCACAAAAGCAAACAGTCCACAAAATCAGTATGATTCGATTCAATGGACAATAAAACATCTTCTGTTGTGAAAATTAAAACGTCATTTTGAATTGGATAAAACTAGGGTTTACATATTTCGTGAGAGAGAGAGAGAGAGAGAGAGAGAAGAAAAAGTGCATGCTCACCTTTGGTGAGAGATCATACACATTGGAGCATCGCATGCCAATGAGCTTGCGGAGACATTTCACCTCTGCAGCCACATCGGCCGTGTTCATTCGAACCTTCACCATGTTCTCACTCTTCTGCTATCTTTTTCTTCTTCCTTCTTTGTTTACTTACCTTCTCTCTGTACAGTTTTTCCTTGCATTCACAATTTTGACGAATATGCAGACTCCGATAACCCTCCTTGGAAAGAAAGACGGGGAAAGGTGATGCGCAAAATAAAAGACCGTCCTTGCGTTGAAATAAACTTACCAAAATACCCTTTGCTAGAGCTAAAATAAATCTCAAAAAACGGAGACCATGAATATAAAAAATAAATAAAATTTAAAAAATAATAATAATAATTTTATAAAGACAACATTTTGACAATTAGTTTTATGTGATTTTAGATGAACCACCCATTTGCATCCATTTATAAAATTGATGTTTTATACCTCGGGGGAAGTAAATGTAGAAATGTGTCCCCCAATGTATGGAACAATTTTTTTTAAAAAAATTATTGATAAAATATTTTCAAATAATAAAAATTCAATAAAAAATACTTATATTTTAGCAAAGAGTTAAGATAAAGCTCGAAAGATGATCGAATATTAATTTTTATATTTTATAAATAAAATCACCAATAAAACTCTGAAAACATTTAAATTCAAAATATAGAGGATTTTAAAATTGGTATACTCTTTCTGAAACAAAGATAGTGTAATTTATTTTAGGACATATAATGAGTGAAAATATGGCAACATGGACATTATGCAACACCAATTTTTTATGACTTTTTAAAAATTTGATAAAAAATAAAAATAGTTATAGATGTAATACTAGTAAAGCAATTTGAAAAACTTCACTTAAGGTTCATAGCTGATGCAAAAATACCTCATTTCTAATGGCTGGTTGGAGCATGTTTAGATAATGGCAAACCTTTTTGTCCTTCAGTCTCTTAAAAATTGTTTCAAGCTACAAGTCTATAAACTCTCCAATATAGTCCTCAACTTTATTCTCAATCTAACGAAGATTTTGGAAGTTTTGCACTATCTTTAAAGCTTTAAATTGTATAATTAAAGATGAAAAATATATTTTAAGGCTATCACAAGTATTTTCGGTATTGAAATCACATTTCTTAATATTATTTGAAGGTGCGATTTATATTGATTGTTTAGAGCCTCGGCTCTATACAAACCGCACTCAAAGATAAACGATCTATTTGGGCAATTCCTTTTATAAGTGTTAATATTAAACAATTAAAGCAAGGCACACCTTTAAATCTTGTTAAAAGGGGCAATTTGGTGACAAAAACTATTACAATAACCTAAAAATCTATTTCATGCCTAATTATAAGATTTAAAGCCCTATAAATGGTATAGATTAAGTAGTTATATAAACACTTAATTTTTTTAAAAAAATGGATGTTTAGACAATGTGTTACAAGATATATAATTTTTAATACTTGAAATCACTCAAATTTTTTTATCTACGGTGAATATGATCAATTATAGGTTTTTTAACAACCAAACAATATTTTTAGGTAAATTTTTGAGGTGCACATTACCACTTCGGTCAACAATACTTTTTCATAATTTCCCCTTGTTTTATTTTTGAGTGGGAGCCATGCTCTCGGTACCCGACTACACTTCACATGGACCTCGATCAAGGTCGGGTGACCCCTACCCAGCTTACTCGATTATAGAAATATAAAAGAGAAACATAAAAATTTATTTTGTATATTATATAATATATATTTTATACCTGGTTGAGTTGGTCGAGTCGATCCAACCAAATAGGGTCCAAGCTGAACCGGACCCAAAATATGAACCCAAACTCAGACTAGATTCGGGTTGGCGCGACTGACCCCTGACTCATATTCAACGCACGCTGCCAAGCCTAAGGAAACTGGCACGACAGCCCACGTGTCACAGAGCTCAAGGGCGTTTTTGTCCATCCCAGAAATATAATTTGTCATTGGTCCGACAGCAGGTTCCAGTTTCGTTTAGCCTACCTTCATGTAAAGAAGAATTTCGCTGAAGATTTCCCCCCCTCTAACAAAATGGATCAAAACCAGGTATTTTTTTCTCGAATTTCGAGATACAATATATGCACTTCGTGTTTCCGTAAATTTGAATGGGTTAGATCTAGGGAAAAACCTGGAATAATTGTGTATTAACGGATCGAAACTAGGTATTGTTTTCCTTTTTTTGGAGAGAGATTGTAGATTGTATTCCCTCTGAGCTTTGTACGAGTTAGATCTAGCGCAAAGGAGTCCGAAAATCTGGGCAAAACAGATTGGAAGATAGGAAACTTGAATTATAGCTATTTATTTCTCATGGTTCGGAGAAAAGAAAGACCGTGATGAGGCATGAAAGATAGGAAGCTTGGATTATATCTATTTATTTCTCATAGTTCGGAAAAAAAGACCGAGATGAGCCGTGAAAGTATTTTTTTATACTACCATTCGTTGACGCGTCATGGTTCTGCAGTGATGACTCATAAGATCATCACATTTATATGATTAGGGCAACTTGGTTATGTCTCTTATATTGTATGGTGTGAATGTTGTGCATTTTTTATTTTAATTGCTAGATCTATGAATTCTACAGAGGATCTCAGGTATATTTTTATAGAATGTATTCTTCTATCTTACTAGCTTTTCATCCATTTCAGGATTTTTAATTAAATTTAAAAAATGCAAGGTTTAGGTTTTTGTCAAATGGAATTTTGTTAGGAATTTTCTTGTGCTAATTCTGAGTTCAAAGTGGAACTTCATCGAATTATCTCCATGGTTTGATAATTCTTGATGCAATTCTTGATTAAGTTTCTGATGAGTGAACTGTATGATGAATTGCAGTAATATTGTAACATTTATTTCGGAAGTATGAGCAATGGATGATACTGATATTGACTCTTAAAACAAGTAACTCAAGCAGATATCTTTGTTGAAACAATGAGAAATCTAGAAAGGTGTGTGGTTTTTTATTCTGCAAGACACCACAAATTTTCATTCAATACCCAAGCAGCCAACCCACAATTTCGTGGACTCTAGGTATAGGGTGGGGATGTTGAGGAATCACTATAAGAGTGGACATGGAGAAAGCCTGTGACCACATAGATTTAGGATTTTCTAGACTAAATGGGGGATTGGTTTCCGTGATCATAATTTCTTTTGAGGCTGTTGAGACCTCAGGCAAGACAACCTATCCCTGTTATTATGGTGTCGGAAGCTATTAGTTGTTTGTAGGTAAAGCAGTTGGGTTACATGTCATCGAAGGGATAGATCTAGGTCATTGAGAGGTTGTTATGACAATCCAATCATTTGTTTGTCTGACCCAGGCCCCGTGCAAGTACATTCTACGAGGATGAGCTTGAGAGTCTATGTGGCTGTTTATGGATTGTAACACACTTGGTAAAGATTGCTATCCTTGATGGGTGGAAAACTTCTAGATTAAATGAATTTGCCAACATTGCGGTTTTTAAAGCTGAAGAGCTATCCAAAATATTGCTGGGAATTCCTATATGCATCGATAAGTGGCGCAAAAAGCTTATGAGATCTGATTGTTCAGAAATATGAATTGAGGCTAGTGTAATAGTCTATTTTTGTTCCATTTTTGGGTAAAATTACCCTCATAAGTATGGCGGACAAGGATCTAATGGACTTATTGTTTCTGTTCTAGGGTTCTTTATCCTTATTCAGGCAGTAAGTAAGATGAAAATAACTCAGTGTAGTTTGGGAGAGGTTGAAGTATGACATGGTAGAATGTGGATAGCAGGATGTTTCCATGGTTATGATCGGTGTCTAGGAGAGCTGCAGGATTGGGCATTTGTGCTTCATTTAGTACTGGCATTTTGGGAGGAGCCAGGGGTTCTTTGGGCCAGCATGGTTAAGGGCAATATGGTCATAAATCGTGATAGTAATGGTGGGAAAAATGAGCGGTGCATGGATAACAATATTTCTTGGGTGTGGACCGTGGGAGGATATCTATCCCATGGCACCAAGCCAGCAAGTTTTTGGCAGAGTAGTAGGTTTGGAATGGGAGATGGAAGGAGAGTCATCTTTGTGTAAGATGTCTTATGGTGACACTGATTTTGTATTGGCTGGATTAGATTTGAACCATGAGTTGATGGTGAGTGGCTGTCTAGAGAGGCGATGGGACAAGGTGTTTTAGTGCGTGCACTTTGGGAAGTTGGGGGGCTTAAGGCTGTGGAGATGAGGATATGTCGTGTTTGCTGAGCTGTCTTGGAAACAACTTATAGTGGGATTAAGCCCCATCAATAGTTTATGGAAGTGGGCCTTTTCTCCATTAAATTCTTTCATATAACTCAAGTGGATAGTTGTGTTGGGCCTTTAGGTTGCGTTGTTTGGGGCACTTATGCTCCATACTTTTTCGCCATATTTGGGTGGATGGCAAGTTCAGAGTTTAGACAAGATCCTGACTACAAACCGCATCCTACAACATGGAAAAGAGACATGCATAGTGAATCATCCATTATTTGTGTTCAATAGAGTTGGTGTTTGGATTAATAGGGAATCATAATTTTTTTTCATTTTGTTTTAGAAACCCCATTTTATGGTGTGGAAGTGATCCTCATTCTTCGTATTTCTTTTTGTAACTTTTTGGCTAAATGAGTGGGGTGATCTTCTAGAGCTTGTATTCTTTATTTTCTTGTGTTTAATTTCTCCAGATAAATATTCCTGAAAGGAAGTATGTTGATGATTCGATGTTTGTGAACCGTTAAAAGGAAGCCTCTAAGTTTTTGAGCATACTTCATTGTGGATTACTAAATCTGTTATTGTTTGAGATAATTGGACATATTTCATTGGATTTACAATTTAATTTCTCTGTGAATGCCCTTGAAAGTCTGGTCCTTTTTGGATTTGACAAGAGAAGAGTTGGATTGCCTGCAAAGCTTAACCCCTACGAGTTTGTAAGTTAAGAGGAAATATGTTCAAAGCTTAGCGAGAAAAATACTGGACTAGCTCAATATGGTCATATGAATTACTTGTGCCCCAATTTATTTGCAGCTTTGTGTAAGCTGAAATAATTGCTGTTTCTTAGTTGCTTTTTGTCCATAAAGTTTAAATAGATTAAAATTGGCTAGGTAATTAAGAACTTGGCAATTGGGTCTCTTACTGTTTATTTATTTCTGAAAGTATTGCCTTTGGTTCTTTGCTTATCTGAAGGTTACTTGTTTCTTTGTTTTGTACAATTGTTAAATAGATTAAAGTTGGCTATGTAATTAAGAACTTGGCAATTGGGTCTCTTACTTTTTATTTATTTATGAAAGTATTGCCTTTGGTTCTTTGCCTATCTGAAGGCTACTTGTTTCTTTGTTTTGTACAATTGTTAAGTTGCAAGCAACAGGGAAGAACTATGCCAATCCAAAAACATGCTTCTTTCATGTTCTCTTTAAGGTATGGGATTTGTTTGTTTGGTATTTTTATTTGGCTTTTTTTGTTTGTGATCTTTCACTCACAGCCTTCTAACCTTGGCAGGCAGCAGCTTTGGCATTCTACATACTTTCGGCACTTTTTATCAACAGCTTTGTTATCATATTTGTCATAACTGTATTGCTGGCTGCTCTTGATTTCTGGGTAGTAAAAAATGTCAGTGGACGGATATTGGTTGGTCTGAGGTGGTGGAATGAAGTAGATGAGCAAGGGGAGAGTGTCTGGAAATTTGAATGTCTTGACCACGAGGTTCATATTATTTCATACTTTTTTGCTCTAAACCATGGAGAACATATTTACTAAAATGAATATTTACATATGGAGGATCACTAAAAATTGCACTTTCTCAATTTACTCATTCACACATACACACCCGCACTCTCATTTCAGTTTTTTGTATTTGGTTATCAGTCTTTGGCTCGAATGAACAAGAAGGATTCATGGCTCTTCTGGTGGACACTTTACATTACTGTAAGTACACTTGTGGTGTGCAAGAATCTACAAATTACTCGTTTCACTATTGTTGAGCTGTGTTAATGCCCCACTTTTCTTTCCCCATGGTTTCTCTGATAATGTAGCCTTTTTCCTTCTTCTTCTTCTTCTTCTTCTTTTGTTTATGAATGAAATCATTAAAATAACTAAGGATGATAGAAGTGTGAATGCCTGTGTTGTTCACACATGCGAAGAATGCCATAGTATTGAGCCTACCTTCTGAAGATTTATGCCAAAGCATTACCCCGAGGCACAGGGAACATATCATATAAATTTAATTATTTTTGATGAGTATTTTTACTTATTCAGAGGCAGAGCTCATTCCTCTTAAACCATCATATAACATTCAATGGATATCCCTCAAGCTGTACGAGGTTGTCATGGTTTTTGGTAACAAATATTGACATCTACTAGTAAAACTTTGTCTTCACCCATGCCCAATATGTTACCTGTAGATATCCAAAATGTCATTTGATGAGTTCCTCTTGTCCTTATTAACCCAGCAAAACCAGCAGCTATAATGTGAGTTACCTTTGGCACTGCCATCGTGTTTGAAAATAATTTCTTGGATGTGCCATCTACACTGACATCTTACACCTCTTTGGTCCAGAGTTCAGACCCCTTATGGGCATGCATTCATTCATATGCTTTAATCTTTGCATAACTGATGCGCCACTCTTACTGTTCAATTCTCCTTGCTACCAGTTAATCAATAAAAAAGGGTTCAGGCCTGCGGAATTTAACCTACTTCAGTCCCTGGATATTTTTCTTTAGCTTGTTTATGCTCTTATTTTAAAGAAACTTATTACCAACGGAAAAAGAAGAAAAGAGTATCATGCATGTTGTTTACCTCAACAACACAAACAAATTTAATATCAAATCAAAAGAAAGAAAAGACAATATCACAAAGTTTTAGGAAGTTGTGGGAGGAGAGAGCCATTGAAGTTTGCTGGATATGGACAAGATTGGAGGTATCTCCTGTTGTGTCATTCATTTTGACTTGGATTATCTACTGCTCATACCTGGACTGCTGCTTCAAGTAAAATAGGTTTCGTCATCATCATCATTAGAGGCTTTTTCCCTACTATTTGGGGTCATCTACACAAATCTTGATCCACCATTTTGCTCTATCAAGGGCCATACCCTCCTTGAGGCCAAAGTGGGTTTAAACTTGCTATTTTGTTTTTTTGTTTTGTTTTCGAAGTTGATATCTATAATAGTATGTGAACTATTGCAAAATATCCATGTAGGGGTGGGGTGTAATAAAGTCAAAACTACAAGTCGGATGCTCTACAGAAGAAAAGAGTCCAAAATTGGTTGGTCATATGGGCCCACTACGATCAACGAACCAAAAATGTGGGTTAGAGGGTCCCACTATAAGAAAAAATAGAGGGACCTGTTCAATTTAGAGAGGTAAGAGCCCAAGAAGGATCAGCAAGAGAGGTGACTGTGGATTATGATAAAGAGGGGTCAATGTTGTGCACTTGAAGAAATCAAGGTGTCATCTGTTATTCTTTTGGCTGCTCCTGAGCTAGCAAGCGAGTCATCTGCTGTGTTGGCTTCACGCTGGACAGAGGCCCTCACGTTTCTGCACAGATGATACATATGGTAAAAAATGTGTGAGAGTTTCCAAGGGAGAGGGTGCTGAGAGGGCCGCCAAGATATCATGTTTTTGGAATCCCTCCTAAATAATTAGCTTGATTTCTCAGGAATGATCAAATGTTTTTATGCCTTTCAGAATGGCCATTGACTCAGCCATGGTGGAGTCCATGATGCCTATGTAACCTGAGAGGAAAGAGTATTGTTCTCATTCTTGTTTTTAAAAGCTCCCGCAAAACCACTTGAATTGCCAAGACAACAGCCATTCACATTAAATATTATGGTATCGGTTTCCTGGGGTCTCTATAGGCAGACACTCCGTATTTTCTGGGATTAGAAGTTTATGATGTTTTGTCTATTGGACTGAAAATCTTTTCTTGAGAAAGACTGAAGTCCTTTGAAGTTTCTGGCCCATAAAGTGGTAAATGTCCTTGATGTGCTCGGCAATAATAGCCGTATTCCTTTCCATGCTGTCAAATATTCTCTTATTTCTTCACAACAAATAGTCCAAATGGTGGCTAGAATGGAAATCCTCCAGAGGAAAAGCCCGCCGGAGGATATGGTGTTGTAAAGAAGGCGGAAAAAAGCAGTTAGGTGGTGTTTGGTGTGACTCAATGCCAATGGAAGGACTAAGAGATGCACCAATAAAGCTGCAACACATGGACAGTGGATAAGAAGATGGTCATGGCTTTCCTCAGCTTCCTTACAATGCGTGCATCTATTAGGGATGCTGAAACCCTTTCTTTGTAGCTGGTCGCAGTCATTCTAGAGATTGCACTTTTGGGAAGGGGGGTGGTTATGGGTGTGAACTCACTTTGCAATGGATTATTGGCTTTGGTTTGTAGGGGTGGAAGAAAGAGGTGACTGAGAATTTGCCCGATTGAGAGGGGGTCCAGATGACTCTATCCTGCCCTACGGGTATGTGTTTGGGAACTCGACTCGGCCTCAGGAATTGACTTTTGCCCTTGCCAAGTAACTCAAGCAAGTCCGAGTTGACTCACTTGAGTCCTGCTCTAGCCCAAAAAAGGGCCAAAACAGTGAAAAAATTACAAAACAATTGTGAAAATATAAACAAATAGAAAATATTAATATCCAAAAAAACAATAGCAAATCAGAAAATGCATATAAAACATGAAATAAGAAAATTTTGATTTTATTGGCTTTAAAAAATAGAAAATATGAAAATTTGGAAAAATCAGTAAAAAGTGAATAAATCATAAGAATTATTAAAAACATAAAACTCTATATAAAAGAGAACATTAATATCTTAATTGAATTAGTCAAGAATCAATTTATAAATTTAAATTGAAAAAATGAAACATACCCAAAATTTCGAGGCTATAGAATTTAAATTAAAAAAATGAAGCATACCCAAAATTCGAGTTTGGGGCAAATTGAGGCTTCAGATCCTTACCAAATCTTCCTTATGTGTCTCCAACGGAAACCCCCCAATCAAAATTTGGTTTCTGACTTCGGATCTAGGAACTTGAAATTTCCAAATAGCAAAAAAGAAAAAAAATCGAAACTATAAGTTCTTAAATTTTATTTTTGTTTTTTTGGCCCTATGGTTGGATCAAGAACTCAAAGTAAGGCTTAGGGTTCGATTTAATTGAAGAACGACCATCGGATTCAAAGAAATAAAAGTTTTTCAAAATCAGGTGAAAAACTGCCCAATCATGTGATCTAAAAAATGCGACAAATCTAATGGTGTTTTCTCGAATCAAAGTCTTCTAATAGGTAGGTTTACTGATTTTCTAGCTTATACTACAAATGTGGATCAAATTGTGGGGTTTCTAGGCTCCAATCTTTGAAGAAAATGAGAAATGACAAGCAGATTTTCGCCCCCCTTTTAAGTCATCGTACAATACTCAGGGGTTTGGCCGATTTCTACAGTACTCGAGGGAGTTTTATAGTACTTGCCCTAGAACTGTACAATTTCTTGGACCCCTGAGAACCTGTACATATTATTTCACCTTAGCGCCCTGTCGAGGCCGAGTTACTTGGCTGAGCCCATGTTGGCTCAGTTGAGTTTTAAAACTCTGATGCTGGGTAAATAGAGGTGGTGGAACAATTGCCGCATGTCGAGGAGAAGGATTCTTTCCTGGTCAGAAAGGTGTCTTCTTAATGTAGAATACCATATGGTTCTAGGTTGGCGTCCCACAACAAAAGCGACTATAGCATTTGGGTCTAAGGTTACATTGAATGGCTGCATCTTCGGTCCCCAAATTGTACCAAAAAAAAGCAAATTACCACCCATATTGGCTTTCTATCTTCTATTCCCCATAAACTTCTGTCAGCTAATGCTCTTCAAACCCCCAAAGCATTTGCAAGATGGTTTCCCTTGGGAAACCATCCAACAGCCTCCAGCTTGTATTTATGGCGTATGATGTTGCGCTGCAGGGGGTCAAGCTGTTAAGCAAACCTCCACCACCATTTGCGCAACAAAGCAATGTTTGTGTTTTTTGAGGTTGTGTATGCCTAGTTACCGAGAGCCTAAGGAGAGGCCGAAAGCCTTTAGATCGTCGGTAGTCTTTCAACCAAAGAGGCCTTTGGTACTTGAATGGGGCCCATTGTTCGCTTCTATAGTGGCTCTGTCGGAAGTTTGAAAAAATCAAATTGAGTTGTTCACTGAAAGCCTTGCCTTTCTCTTTGCCACTTTTGACTTTTTATAGTTCACTAGGTGTCTAATGTAGGGGAGAAGGGGAAAGAAAATAAATAAATTAGAAAAAAACATAAGGCAAAAATAAATGGATGAGAGACTATTACCTCTCCCAGGTCTGCAAGGGAGTCCACCCCAAAAAGCTCTTTTCGCAAGACCCAAATAAATTCTTCTTTTCTTTTCTTCTTTTTTTGGTTGCATATTTCTAGTCCAACAATTACATATTTATAGAAGAAAACAACTCTCAACCCTGACTTGCCCCCTAAGGAATTCTAATCCTCCATCTTTAAAAAGTTCCAATTCTACCATTAACGTATCTTCAACTAAAAAAGGCACAAATACCCCTAAAGAAAATTAGAAAAATAAAATTTAAGTTCCAAAAAGGGTCTTAAAATATAAAACTAAAAATCCATTTGATCATTCTCCCAAGGTTGGGAGAAGCTCGACCTTGAGCTTGTCATGTTCATCGCATCCTTCAAGAGCCAATTTAATAATTAGTGTAGTCCCACCATTCATCGACTTACTTTGTTTCTTCAGTGAACCAATTGATCAAACACTTAAATACCAACTTAATCTTGGTTTCTCCTTCTGGCTCAAAGGGTGGTATTTTACATGCGCTACAAATGTATCTTCGTCTTCGCAATTGATTGTTGAAATTTGTAGCACTTCAGGGTTGTCAACATCTTTCGTTCTAAGGTTTACCTCTTGTTCCCCATATTGCTACTTGCTGAGAAGATCTTGTAGAACTTCTTGTATTATTCTGCTAAGATGTTTTGTCAGATATTTTTTGAGTCTTTCAAATATTTGACACTCTATAACTAGATTAGTAGATGTTTGTGATAACATCATGTTGTATTGCTCTCAACGCTTTGATACCAATTGATGTAGGGGAAAGGGGAAAGAAAATAAATAAACCAGAAACATAAAAGACAAAAATTATTGGATGAGAGATTATACCCTCTCTTATTGGTCTACAAGGGAGTCCACTCTAAAAAGATCTTTCCAACTAGACCCAAATAAATTATTCTTTTCTCTTACTTTTTCTAGTGTAATAGTTACATATTTATAGAAGAAAACAATGGCAAACCCTAACTTGCTCCCTAAGGAGTTCTGATCAATATTAAATCCCAAGCTTCATCTTTTTAAAAAATAAAAATAAGTTCCAATTTTGCGCCTTAATTCTCTACAACTAAAAGAGGACATAAATATCAAACTAGAAACCCAAAATAAACCCAAACCTAATTTCTAAACAAAAAGCCGGACAAAAAAAAAAACCCCATTACATCACCAACCTACTAATCTTCTTTGGTATGCACACTAACCTACTAATCTTCTTTGGTACGCACACTTTGTCCAATACGCCCAATTGAAATTTCTTAATGTCCCTAGACCCAGACGACAAGATTTCCTTCACAAGGTGTTCTTTGGAGATTACATAGGTGGGCATGTGGAAAAGGGAAAGGAGGATGAATAGGATTATAGGAATGTTGGCTAGAGTTGCCTTGATTGGAGTGATTCACCTAGCCGATGAGAAAATCTACCCTTCCAAGCTGTGAGCCTCCTTCGAAAGCTTTCTATAATTGGGTCTAGAAGAGGTTTGTAGGGCTTTCCTACAGAGAGAGGAAGACCCAAATACTTTGTTCATAGTGTGTTGGTCCCGCAGCCGAATAGGGTTTCGAACGCTTCATGGGAATGCTTGTTCATTTCTACACCCATCAGTTTGGATTTGACATGTTAATCTTCATGCTTTTGGTGACTTAGTAACATCTTGGAAATAGCCAAAGTTACTTGACTTTATTGATACGGCATTCTACAAGACAAGGTTGTCATCAATGTTGAAGATGGCAAATGTCAGGACCATTTCATTTCTACACCCATCAGTTTGGATTTCAAAACTTCTGGTGCTATTGCAAATAGCAAAGGACGTCCTGTATGAGGCCTTAGGAGGGTTGGGAGTATCGTTTAAGGATGCCATTTTTGAGGATTGAGCTGGTTGTTGAGGTAAAGCAACCAAGGATCCAGCTTCTCCATTTCTCTCCAAAGCCCATTCTGCTGAGCATTTCAATTAGAAGGAGGTCCAGTCTCCATGATCATAGGCTTTCTCCCAATATTTAGAATAAGGCTCGGGGCCTTTGAAAGGTGCTTGGAGTGAATGTGTTCGTGGGCAGTGGGAGCCCCATCTAGTATTTGTTTATTTTTTGACAAAACCACTTTGATTGGGCGAGATAACATGGTTAAGCAACTCTGGCAAACATGATGATAGGACTTTAGCTAATAATCTGTATGATGTACTCATTGAGGTGATGGGACAGAGTGTTTGATCTCCTCTACTCCTACTTTAGGGATTAGGGCAATGAAGTTGGCATCATTCCTTTATGCACCATCCCTCTTTGGTAGAATACGTTGAAAAAAGTGAGTGCATTGGGTGCCATGACATTCCAGAGTTTATTTAAGACAACTAGAGAAACCTTTTGGTCGTGGGTCTTTTGCTTGTCCTAGGTTAGTGATGGCTCTATTGATTTCTTCTTCAGTGAAAGGTCTTTCCAGCCAGTATTCTTTATCACAAGGAAGCGGGAGTAGTGAGAGATGAGTCACGCATGGGCGAGAGGTGTAGGTGGCCTCCAAGACTAGACTTTGGAAAAAAGGAACAATGGTAGATGCGACTTGTAAGGGTTCTTCAAAGGTCCCTGACCGCATTTTGTTATGGGTGATAGCATTGGCCTTGAGTGATTTCATACATCATCATCGTTAGAGCCTTACCCCAACTCTTTGGGGTCGGGTTCACAAATCCTGTTCCGTTTAGGATTTCATGGATTGTTGCGTGAAATTTTTACATTGGCTGCCTACCTAAACAATCCTCCTTGTTTACTCGAGCTTGGGACCGCCATGACCAGCAGGGGCCCGGCTAGGGCAGAGTTGAGCGATTGCATATATGTGATTGCAAAATAGTTTGTTGTTACATGTACAATTTTTAAGGGGTGCCAAATCTTCTGTCCTTGTGTGCCACTTGGATCAATGATTTCTTGTGCTAAATATCACATCTGCCTTTTCAGGATGATGTAATTAGGGTTTAATTTTTATTTTACTATTTTTTAGGAGATTAAAATTTAGGTTTGGGGTTATATTGGGTTTTTAATTTTTTTTATGACTGTTTGTCTTTTTTGGTTGTAGGGAATTGAGGGTTAGAATTGGAAGTTTATTTTTTAAAGATGAAGGTTTAGGATTTGATTATGGTTTCTTAAGGAATAAATTAGGTTTTAGGCTTCATTTCTTTTATAAATATGTAATTATTAGATAAAAAAAAAAGTAGCAAAGAGAATAAGAGTATTTCAGATCTTTTGAAGAGAGAGAGCATAATCTCTCATCTATTTATTTTTGTCTTTTATTTTTTTGATGTATATATTTTTTCCCTTCTTCCTTGCTTCAATTGGTATTAGAGCCTACAAGATCCATACATCATAATGCCACCAAAACCTACTCCTGGGATCAATGATCTATTGTCACAAATTATAGGAGATGTAAACAAAGCCATGGAAGACATTCAAAGTGAGATTCATGAACTTCGAGGAGAACTTGGTGGAGAGATTGGTGAAGCGAATTAGCGATTGCAATGGTTGAAGAACACCGTTCATTAACAAGAGGGTGCTCGCAACCACATAGATTTGGTGCCAATTGTCCCATGACCAACTTGGGGTGCCAATCCCAAATGTAACGATCAAATTTGCAGGCAAGATCTGCGCCCTATAGAGTGTTCACGGTATCTTAGTATTAAGGTCGATCTCCTTGAGTGTCATGGTAAGCTCCACATAGAATGCTTTATTGATTGGTTGAGTGCAGTTAAAATTCTTTTTGAATGGAGTGAATTGATAGAAGAGTGTCAAGTTAAACTTGTTACAACTAAAGTCCGGGGTATGCTATGACCTGGTGGGAACAAGTTCAACAATCCCGACTTCGTAGTGGAAAGGCAAAAATTTCATATGGGCAAGATATGAAAATGACATTGGAAGAGAATTTTCTTCCTGTAGATCATGAGCAAATTTTCTTTCAAGATTTCCATAATATTCGATAGAATGATAAGAAAGTAGAGGATCATACTGGGGAACTTTATATACTTGTGGCTCAAAACAATCTCCAAGAGATTGAACTTTGAAGGGGAAAATGTTGCTCGTTATATTCATGGGCTCCAACCAACCATTTGAGATGTTGTCTTTTTGTATCGACCATGGACCTTAAGTGATCGACCGTGGACCTTAGGCGAAGTTTTTCAAGTTCCTTTACGAGTAGAGACTAAATAACAGTAGAGCACTAATAAGCGCTTTTTCACCTAGAAGAAGGTTTCTTACCAGGTTACTTGTTATCAGTGTAATGAAACTTGCAATTGTGCAAATGTAACGATCCCAAAAAGGAGCACGAAGGTACACTTGGCTAAAGAAGCAAATTAAATTCAAGGAGATCAATATCCAAAGTTACAACTGCATGGTGATGAATTGGCTAGTCTTTGATTCACGTTCGAATATTCATGCTCGAGTTGGAGCGTCTCCCAACCTCGACAGAAAGATGTAATTAGATTTTTTTTTTAATTTTTAATTTATTGTTTTTTAGGAGGTTGAAATTTAAGCTTGGGTGGGCTTTTTATTTTATTTAGGCATATTTGTCTTTTCAATTGTAGAGAATTGAGAGGTAGAATTGAATGTTTATTTAGTTTTTAAGATGAAGGGTTAGAATTTGATTAGGTTTTCTTAGGGAACAAGTTAGCGTTTAAGTTTCTCTTCTTCTATAAGTGTGCAAATATTAGACTAGAAAAAAATAGTGAAGAGAATAAGAGTTTTCTTTTTTTAGAGTTTGTTAAAAGATCTTTTTTAGATTTTACTCCCTTGTAGACCCTGAGGGGGGAATCTTCCCTCCTTTTAGTTTTGTATTTATTTTCCTGAGTTATTTATTTGTTTCCCATCTTCCCTGCATCACAAGATACTTTTTTGAATTACATCCACGTTCATGCCAGAAATTCTCATCATATTCCTCTGGCATTACAATTTCACATGGCTGGTGCCATGGCCTCCACTCATTTTCCTTTTAACTTACCTATTTGAAAAACTTCAAAGTAAAGCATTGCTTTTGTAGATTCAGTAGGCTTTAAATTATAGAGAGCAAAATTTTTTTATTTGGAAGGAAATTGTGTCATCTCTTAATGTGCTGCAATTTATGTAACTCACTCTCTTGATGAGTTAGTTTCCTTGACTGATTTTGGTTTCATGAAAAGGTTTTGTGTCTCCCTAAATTATATAGTGCTCTGTCGAAACATCAATTCAGATAAAACTTAATTTTCTAAAAAAATCAAATATCTTTATTTTGTCACTATATAATGTGGTCTATCTCAACTCAAACATGGTAATCATGGTCACCTTACATTTGAGGTCTAACTGCTGTGATTAGCATGTATAGACATTTACTAAAATTCATGGTCTTATTGTATTTATGTGCCGTGAACTACATGGCTTCTTATGTGCAGGCTGTTGCATGGATTTTCCTGGGGATATTCTCGCTCATAAGGTTTCAGGCTGATTTTCTTCTTGCTATTGGAGTATGTTTGAGTCTCAGCATTGCAAACATCGTTGGCTTTACCAAATGTCGCAAAGGTACATTATCAGTTGTCAATTCTGAAAGATGATTCATTGCTTTTCATTATTGTATGGTATTTAAGGCAAGGACTGCCCTCATGCCACTTTTGATGCTTGCATTAGTTGAGTGCAATAATAATATACCATAGAGGTAATTGCTTCACAAGAAGTTTGGCTTTCATGCTTGCACTACATTAAAGATGCAATACAGTTTCATATGCCTTAATAGTTTGCTTGAATTTCGAAATTTTGGAAGAGATTTACTGAAAATTTAGGATTTCATGTAAAAACTTTGTCTCAATCTTTTGTTGCTTCCTTATTTGATTTGTATGAACGTTTTTCAGTCCAGTTGTCGCTTAATGTGAACTGATATATGATTGTAATTTGGCAGATGCTAAGAAGCAAATTCAAGCATTTGCACAACAGACAATAGCTTCTCGAGTTTCTTCGACAATTCAGTCAGCGTTCAGTGTAGTGTGATGTCAATGATTTTTGGAAGAAGAAATGGGAAGGATGTGATGTGTATTAGATTTCGATCTTTGCAGGGTGAGGTTGCTCCAGTAGATTGTAGTGAAAATTTCTACACTGGTTCCCGGGCTTATGTTTGTTTTGAATGTTTAAGAACGGTCAATCTCTCTCTCTCTGGTCTTGTAAAAAAGAAATTGAGCTTCCAAAATAGACTGATTGAACGTAAGAGGTAGAAAGAAAAGAGCATTTATGGAGATATTGATTGAAGGAAGTTTTGAACTCCTTAGCACTCACTAGTGCCCATACAATTTTATGACACAATGTGATATTATAGGTGTATATGGTCCATTGAACTGGCAGATTCTTTTTGATCGGTGGACCAGCATCTTTTTCAATATTTTCTATATTGGAAATCTCTCTCCTCTCTCTCTCTCTCTCTCTCTCTCTCTCTCTCTCTCTCTCTCTCTCTCTCTCTCTCTTCTCGTTCGTTCGTTCGTTCGTTACGTTCGTTACGTTCGTTTAGTTTACGTTTACGTTAGTTTACGTTTACGTTTAGTTAACGTTACGTTTA